AAACCTAATTGCGTCTTCCTAGGCATTTCCTGATTTACTTACATATCTGGGGTTTCAAATAAGTAGTTTTAAGTATGATTTGATGATTTTTCATACCTGGCACAAGCTTCTTACAGCATTGCTGCTCTGTGTCTCCTCTCCAGAGAGAACAACAACAGACAGACAAAGGGAAAGCTTTCTCCCAATTTTAAAAAGTTCTAGCCCTCCCATTGGCTCTTTTGGTCAGATGTCCACTCCCTTCCTTTTACCTATGGGCTTTTTTAACCCTTTACAGGTAAAGCAAGCAGAGAACAGCTACTAACAGGGATTTTGTAGCTAACTGGTTGGCTAGGTGTCAATAAAAGGGAGCTACCCCCCTTCATTTATCACAGTGACCAATGGCCTTGGAGTATGCAAATGACCTCATGTGACTTGCATGCCAGTTGGCTGCGTTACCTCTGATATCACCCTCTTCCCACCCAACAATAAATAAAAAATCTCCCAGTCTAAAGACGGGAAGGTGAGATCAAGAGAGCGCAAGATCCTGTGCAGGGATGTAGTAAAAATGTGCCTCTCATTACTGTCCAGAGTGATTCATCTTGGGGTGGGCCCAAGCGACACAGGCTGGATCCACAGCCAGAGTCTGACTTTCCCAAAGTTCGATAATGCCCAGATATGGAGCATGCAGGTCATCCCTGTTACAGAGACGGGGACAGCTGTGGATTCTGGGCACAGCTCAGGGGGGGGAAGGGGTCCTGATGCAGGGGTTAGTTTGGATTCATCTACTGGCCACTTTTGAATAGCAGTAAAGGAATCGGTGGAGCCTCACCCTGGTGCACAAATTCAGTACAAGCCCCTTGGCCTGCACCACGTTAATCCTGAGCTGGGAGACTGCAAGAGCAGCAACCAGTAGGGAGCCTGTGCCCCCACACTGCTGTGAAGGGGTGTGTGATGCTAGCAGGCAGCTGGTCACAGGGTGTCTGCCCAGCCCAGGTTCTCCCGTGCAGAGGGCAGTGAGGAGAGCTAGTCCATGTCACCCTGATGTATAGTGCTAGCAGCCCAGGGTCAGGGGTGTTCCTGGAGCACATTGGCTTGTAGTGTGTCTGCACTGCAGCCCTGCCCCAGCGTTAGGGAGACGCAGCCACCTCCCTCGCCCTGGTTCACCTGCGGGCCAAGTATGAGGGACGTGAGACTGGGGGAGGGGGCAGAGTAGGGCTAAACCAGGTGTCCTTGAGACCCGCTACTGGGTATAGGCCTGCTCACACCATCCTGCCCTGCCCTGCTCTGTTCTGCCCCCGATCTTGCCAGCAGTGTGGGAATACAGTCCATCTCCTCCCACACTGACAGCCAGGCAGGGCTTGAGGGGCAGGCTGGGAGCAGTGGTTCAAGGGAGAAGAAAGGGGTATGTGGGTGGAATGGCAGGCCGAAGGGCAGGGGTTCAGGGAGGTGGGGGAAGGGCTGCAGGCTGTGGAGAAGAGGGATAAGGATGGGTAAAAAGGCAGAGGGCGGAGAAGTCCAAACAGGCAGAATTGTGAGGGGAAGAGTGTGGCAAGGAGGGGGAGAAAGAGAGATGGGCAGGCGGGTGGGGTAGTGGGCACCATAGGGGCAGGTGAGTGCAGGTTGAGGGGAATGGATGGCACTGCAGGGGATAGGGAAAGGGCAGGACTGCTGGGGGAAGGATGGGCATGGGGGGGATGGGTGGCACAACAGGAGGAGGGGCAGCCTGGCAGGAGGAGGGGCAGGCAGGTAGGGAGTGGGGGGGAAAGGGCAGGTGAGTGGCATAGCAGGGCAGCCTGGCAGGGGGAGGGGCAGGTAGGTAGGTGGTGGGTGGCATGATAGGGGGAGGGGCAGGCAGGGGGAGGGGAACAGGGCAAGTGAGTGGCACAGCAGGGGGAGGGGCCAGTATGTAGGACTATGGCAAAGTGACACTAAGGCACTGACAACAGTGAGCTTGTATTATTTTCCTGGATGGACAGCCTGTCCCCTCACAGCCCAGGCACCCGACGGCCCTGGAGAATGAGCTGGCTCAGAGCAGCATCACTTTCAGTGTGATACAGGAGGTCAGCATAGAAGATCTGGCCTTGGAGTTTATGACTGTCATTCAGAGGAGAGACGTGGGTTTGTAAAGGTGCAGTTTTGCCAATGTAAAATCCCGTCCTTCTATTTACCTCCACAAATGATGAACCCATGAGCATCTGGGCTCTTCGACTGTGTAGCCAATGGAGCCAGGACAGACCTGAGCAGCGCTGGAAAGCCCAAAGGTGTTCCTGGCAGCACGACTGCTGTCATCATGGACATGGCTTTTTCCTAGGTGTGGTAGTGTAGCCTAAGAGACATGGTGCTAGATGGGACCCTGTGTCAAGGCTAATTCCCCACTCTGGCACTCCGAGTGCAGAAGGTGGAGGCCCGCAAGGATTCTAAAAATTAATACTGGCCATTCCAGGCTTGTATTAAACTCCCCAGGTTACAGTTTTTCTCTGACCTTGGATAGGTAGATGCTGCCACCACTCAAGTGCAGAACCCCTCTGAGAGCCCAGGAAGGTGCACTTGGGAATTCCTTCCTGTAGGGTACCCTCAAGCCCTTTCACACCCCCTCTGGGGAAGAGCTGAGAAAGGGGAAAAAAAAGGAAATCAGCTGTTGCCACCAGCTAATTAAACAACATGCACAAACCTCTTAAGATACAAAAATCAAATTCTGTTCTTAAAAAAGGTAATTTTTATTAATTAAAAAAGAAAGAAAGAAAATACATCTGGGAACTCAGGCTATTGCTAGATTTTAAAAGCGCAACTACAAGGATTAAGCACCCAGAATAGCTTTCTTGAGGTCCAGCTTAAAGGTTACAAGCAAAACAAAAGCACTGGGGTTAGCACGGAGGAATCCACAAACCATACTGAAATAAAAGGGATAAACCTAATCACATCTTCCTAGACATTCCTGACCTACTTACATATCTGGGGTTTTAAATGAGTAGTTTCTAGGTATGATACTAATGATTTTTTCATACCTGGACCAAGCTTCTTACAGCATAGCTGCTGCCTTGTCTGCCTCTCCCCAGGAGAACAACAGGCAGAGAAAAGGGGAGACTTTTTTTCAATTTTAAAAAGTTCTAGCCTTCCCATTGGCTCTTTTGGCCAGGTGCCCACTCACTTCCTTTTACCTATGCATAGCAGAGAGACTTTTTAACGCTTTATAGGTAGAACAATTAGAGAACAGTTACCAAGAGGGATTTTATAGCTACTGGCTGGCTGGGTGTCCATAAAAGAGAGCTACCCCACTCCCTTCATTTATCACACCCTGCAAACCTGTGTTCTTTTCCCAGCTGTGCTGGCTGACTGTGGTCAACTCACGTCCTCTCTTTGTGCCTCAGTTTCCCCTCCCACACTTTTTTTAGACTGCAGGGACTGTCTTAATAGGTCCCCTCAGTAGCCCTAATCTCAGTAGGGACCCATAGGTGCTAATCTAATAATAATCAGAGTTGGGGGAGTGGCAGGAGTGCTACAGGTACCATGGCGTTTCTGACCCCTATGTCTTAAAGGTATAGCTAGGCCTGCTGGAGCACAGAACTGATCTCTGGGTGGAGGGGAACAAGGCAGATGTGTGACTGGGAGACACGGAGGTAAGAGTGTGTATTTGTGGGAGTGTGTGGGGTGGGGCTGTGTGCACATGGGTGTCTGTACTATTTGTGTATTATTGTATATATGTGCATATTTGTGTGTGTGTCGGAATGTGGACATGTGGGGGTGATATGTACATGTTGTATATTCAGGTGTGTGTGCACAGGGGAGAGAGTACTGTCTGCGTATATTTGTGGGTGCAGTTTTATGTATCTCTATGTGTGTGTGTGTGTTTCATTCTCTCTCTTCCAGGGCCAAGTGCAGCCTGCTCTTTAAGCAACTCTGCAGTCAGTCACCCAGCCAACTTCTCACCTGGCGCCTTCCCTAGCCACTTGAACAGAAGAGCTAAGACAGGGAGAAGACTGATCATCACTCATTTGCATCTCTGGCCTCAGAGTGGCTTTGTCACCTTCCTTTTCTTTCATGCAAAATAGACCCTGCCTGCCTAGCCGGAAAGTCCTAGAGGACGGAATACAAACTGAGCCAGTAGGGTTGGGAGGTGTAGAGCAGTCCCACACTGAGGGTATGTCTACACTGGCAGAGTTACAGTGCCAGGAGTTACAGCGACTCTCAGAGAGCACCGAAGGGAAACCGCTGTTGTGTGTTCACACTGTCAGCTGCCTGCGCAATAGCATGTTCACACTTGCGGCATTTTCAGCGGTATTCGGAGGGGTGCACTCCGGGCAGCTATCCCACAGATCATCTCTTCCTCTTCTGCTGCTAAGAGTTGTGGGAAGACAGAGGGGGTCGCGGGGCATCCTGGGTCCTGTCACAATGCCCCATGATGCATTGCTTCGCTTCCCAGCAATCCCTGTGCTTCCTTCCGCATTTGGTGCCATCTTTCAACAGTTTGTGAACTCTGCCTCTTCGGTCTGCAGAAATGGATCCCGAACTGTTGACCAGTATGCTGCTCGCTCTGACCAACATGTCACGAGTGGCAGTGGAGTTATTCCTTAAACTACAAAGGCAAGAGGAGTGTGACATTGATCTCACCATGTGTACTAGCTACGACACGAGATTGCTTGTGGGATTCACAGAGGTGCTGACCACAGTGGAATGTCCCTTTTGGGCTCGGGAAACAAGCACTGAATGGTGGGATCACATCGTCATGCACGTCTGGGATGACGAGCAGTGGCTGCAGAACTTTTGGATGAGGAAAGCCACATTCATGGGACTGTGTGATGAGCTCACCCCAGCCCTGCAGCTCAAGGACACAAGAATGATGCCGTGAGGCAGAAATTTGAAGCTGAAAGCCACTAATATTTGTTGCTATGCTCGGGAGTGCAGTGCTTGTAATGCTAGGAGGTGATTGTGATTGGTGCAGACGATGCAATATGAAGGTTTAACATAATTGTCTGTTGCTTTGCAAGGCTCTTTTTGCTTTCAATTAATAGAATAAAGATTGCTTTCAAACCAACACTATTATTTTATTAAAAAACAACAACCAGAAGAGAGAGTCAAACAAAAAAACACATCAGCACTGAGGGGGTGGGGGAAGGAAAGGTCCCAGGAAGAGGTGGGGTCCCAGAATGGCTAAAGATTTGTGTATGTCCAGGGATCATATCCAACCTTCTCCTTTAGAATACAATGCAGCAGGTACTGTACTTCAGCAGGGCCAAACTGCAAAGGGATGCTTGTTGAGTGCAGTGGGTACTGGGAATCTGCAGTGCTGGACTGTGACGGGGGAGGAGTGGAATGCTGTGAGTACAGAGGGGAGCCAGGAGATTGATCAGAGTGTGTTGGCAGTGTCGGGGGGAGGGGGGCCGGGGGGCGCTGCGACAAAGAGTTTTGTGACAGTGGCTGCAGGGGAGGGTGGGCACAGAGTTGCTCAGTTTGCAGTTCTAGTATCACCTGGAGTGTATCTGCTTGGCGCTCCATAACATTTAAGAGCCGCTCTGTGGCTTCATTTTGGCGTGCTGCGTTCTCCTTTCGGTCTCTCTTCTGGCTGTCCCGCCACTCCTTCAATTCCTGTTCTTCGGACACTGAGTGTTTGATAACCTCACGCAGAAAGTCCTCCTTAGTTCTTCATGGCCGCTTTCTAATTCTGCGCAGCCATTCAGCTAGCGATAACAAAGAGGGAGGCTGGGCTCCCAAGGTCATCTCTGTGAAGTTTAAACGCAACATTTTACAGAAGCAGTATTGTTTGCAATACACACAACACTGATTTGGTGATTTAAAACACAGCCAGTATTCACATACCTGTCACTAACTGGCTGACCCCAGGCAAGCACACATGAGCCATAAGACCCCCAAAATGGTGAGTAGCTGCAGGGGCAGGGTAAATCACTGTTCCCGGACCCTGCTGTAGACTGGGCACGTGGCTTTTGGGCACTGTTGGGGGGGCGCCTGATAATCATTCCTGTCCCCACATTTTCCACAGAATGTGATCACTATGGAAGTTATCTCACTGCTGAGGGTGAGCAGGGAATCAAAGAAGGGTCTTCTCCAAGACTGCAGCTTCCACTCTAGCTCTTATGCGGCTCGCCTGTGTGCAGCAATTGTTCCCCCACCCCCACCCCCTGTGATAGCACAGTGGCTCGGGAAAGTTACCGTTAATGGGGCAAGAAACAAAGCCGCTCTGCCAAAGAATCCACGGCAGTGGATTGCCCAGTATCTCCATGAGAGTTTCCTGGAGATCTCTGACGCAGATTCCTGTGAAGTGAGGGAGTCAATCAACAGCCTGTTCCGCCTCTCAGACTAGGCGTGTGGTACGTGCATCATACAGAGACAAGCCTGCTTTCTGCAACCCTCCTGCCCCCAACAACTCGCCTCAGCGATTCCCAAAATCAAATCCACTTACCAGGGGCCTCCTCTCCTGTTTGCGCTTCACCAAGATCCGACAGCTGTGACTGGCTAGCTTCCTCCAGGATAGAAAAGAGCTCCTGGCTGCATGCATCTCTGACCTCCAAGTCATCCTCTGCCTCTGGGTCCCCCTCCCCCTCCCCATCCTAGTCCAAGATTTCCTCCTCCTGGCTCAGTCCACTCTCTACTGGCATGCAAGCAGCCGAAGTATCCACAATGGCCTTCAGCGTGGAGGTGGGGTCACCACCGAGTATCGCGTCCAGCTCTTTGTAGAACCAGCAGCTCATGGGCGCATCATCAGAGCGGCAATTTGCCTCGTGTGCCTTGTGGCAGGCATTCCACAGCTCTTTCACTTTGACCCTGCACTGCACTGTGTCCCGCTCATGGCCCCTTTCTGTCATGCATCATGAAATCCGTCCGTAGGTATCATAATTCCTATGGCTGGAGCACAGCTAGGACTAGACAGCCTCCTCTCCCAAAATGCCGATGAGGTCCAGCAACTCGGCGTTGCTCCAAGCGGGGATCGCCTGGTGCATGGAGCAGGCATGGCCACCTGGAAAGATGCGTTGAGACCACCGCATGCATCACCGAACAAACAGGAAGGGGACTTTCAAAATTCCAAAGGAATTTATGGGGTGGGGATGACGGTTGGTCACCTGAGGGCAGGGCAGTAGAGTTCAAACCGATGAACAGAGAGGCAAGAACAGGCATTGTGGGACACCTCCCAGAGGCCAATCACAGCGCTGTAATTGACCAGGGTGTCTACATTGGCACCGCGGCGCGGTAAAAGCCGTACGCCTCTCATTGGGGTGGGTTTTTTTACAGCGCTGCAACTGTTCAGTTTCTGCGCACTAAGTGGCTTGGCAATGTGTAGACCTCAGAAGTTATAGCACAGAAAGCTGCTTTATTGTGCAAAAACTTACCAGTGTAGACAGGGCCTGAGCCAGCAAGGGTTGATGAGCTGACAGGTAATGAATGGGCCACTTAAAAAGCAGGCTGGCTATGGAGAAAGATGACCTTTCTGCAGGGGCTGCCCACTGCAAGAGACTACTGGAGGAAAGGGCAGAGGACCATAGGGTTTTTTTCCGTCCTAGGACTCTTCCTGTGGTTTATTATAAAGAGAGTACTGGGTGGGCTGTACTCACTTGGCAAGGCTCAGGGTTGCAAATTTTGGTTGGATATATTCCTGGAGATTTCATCACATGGCATAATTATTAATTCCTGGAGATTCCAGGCCAATCCTGGAGGGTTGGCAACCCAAGTCGATGCTTGAGGTGCCTAATGAGACTAGTGGACTAGTGCAGGAAACCCCTTTCCTGACCCCGGGGGTGGGGGGAGAATGGCAGGAATAAACTCAGGAGGCTTTTGAATCTGATCCCTGCTTGAGTCTGCCCTGTAGTTCGCCTTGTAGCCTGCAGGTCACATCCACCATCCACCTCCACATCCACTATTACCTCACTTTTGCAATGGTGATCTAGAGGGCCACAGTAGCACAGCACTGTGGACACAGCCTGCCTGTATCAGGAAGTGCAGAGGCAGGAAAAGTGAGCTGGAGAGCAGCATGGAGGATAGACAGAAAGTAGGTCTTTAGGAATGCAAGAGTGATGCTGTGTGTAGCACTGTAGCGAGGTCAGGACTTATGGGTGCAGCGCCTCCTGCTGGTCATCTTGAAAATTAGCTGAACTCCAGCTCTGAAGCGCTCTCTGCTGGCAGTGTTTCACCTGCCTATGGACCACAGTGCCCCTTTACTTTGGGGTTCTGCCCCAGCAGTACCCCCACATACTGGGTCTCCCCTCCCTGGTCACATCCACCTTCCAGCTGTGGGCTGCACCATGCAGGAGCTAGGGTTGCCAGACGTCTGGTTTTCGACTGGAATGCCCAGTTGAGAAGGGACCTGGCGGCTCACGTTGGCACAGCCAACTGGACTGTTAGAAGTCTGGTTGGTGGTGCAGCGGGGGCCTGGGGCTAAGGCAGGTTCCCCGCCTGCCCTAGTTCTGCGTGGCTTCTGGAAGCAGCTGCCAGGTCCCTGCAGCCCCTAGATACATTGGTGGCCAGGGAGACTCTGCGCGCTGCCCCCACCCTGAGTGCCAGCTCCACAGCTCCCATTGGCTGGGAACCACAACCAATGGGAGTTGCAGGGGCAATGCCTGCAGGCGCGAGGGCAGTCTGCGGCGCCTCCCTGGCCACCCATGCATCTAGGGGCTGCAGGGACCTGGCGGCCGCTTCCCAGGAGCTGCGGTAAGCACCACTGGGACCCTGCACCCCAAACCTTCTCCCGCAACCCAACCCCCTGCCTCAGCCCCCTCCTGCACCCTAAACCCCTCATCCTCAGCCCCACTCTAGAGCCCACACCCCCAGCCGGAGCCCTCATGCACCCCAACTGCCTGCCCCAGCCTGGAGTCCCCTCCTTCACCCCAAACCCCTCATCCCTGGATCCACCCCAGAGCCCACACCCCTAGCCAGCACCCTCACCCTTCTCCCACACTTCAACCCCCCTGCCCCAGCCTGGAGCCCCTTCCCACACCCTGAACACCTCTGCACCATCCCCCAGCCTGGAGTCTTCTCCTGCACCCCAAACCCTCATCCTCAGCCTCACCCAAGAGCCTACACCCCCAGACTGAGCCCTCACCCCCTGCCCCAGCCCAGAGCCACACACACACCCTGAACCCCTCATTTCTGGCCCCACCCCACAGCCCCAGTTAGAGCCCTCACCTCCTCCCACACCCCAACCCCCTGCCCCAGCCCAGTGAAAGTGAGTAAGGGTGGGGGAGAGCCAGCCACCGAGGGAGGGGGAATGTAGTGAGCCAGGGGCAGGGCCTTGGGGAATGAGTGAGGCTAGGATATTTGGTTTTGTAGCCATTAGAAAGTTGAACACTAAGCCTGGTCGTATTGGAAAACCTGGGAAGTGTGTGGGCGCAAGCCCACCCACTGCTAAAGGCCCCTCCCCCAGCCTAGCGGGAGGGACCACTGGACCCAGAGACCAACTGATCTGGGGGGACAACTAATAAAAAACAGGAACCAGAGTGAGGGTCAAAGGTTCAAAATAAGGATACCGGATGGGGACACCGAGCAGAGAACCCCGGACAGCGCCCACTGCTCCTCAAAGCTGTTGAGGGAGCCAGCGGACGCTGCCCAGTGGAACTCTGCCCGGATGAACACTAAGCCTGGTGTTAAGGTGGCTCCACAGAGCTACAGGAAGGCTCTCGCTCCCCAGTAAAGGTTATTGCCATAGCTCTAGGCCCCTAGTGCACTGGAGAGGGCTCTTCCACAAGAGAGCTGGGTTAGGGTTCTTATTACGGAGTTGATTTGTGATGCACCAACAGGCTGTGCTGGTCACAGAGAGAGACCTGGGGCCTGATACGAGTCCCACACTGCAGAGGGCCCTGCCCCCAACAGCTTGTGCTCCCAAGACTGTAGAGGCCAGAGCCATGCTGCCCCTGTGCGCCTCTGAGGCACATCACCTGCTCCCTACGAATCCAGGCAGCCAGCAAGATCCATGGGCTGGTGCTGGGGGGCAGAGCCATGGCCTTATCACTCCCCTGCCCATCCCCCTCCCTGGGGGGTGCACTGTGCTCCCAGTGGAGTAGGGAGGGGGCAGCCGCTGTGTGTGCAGAGACTGCAAACCTGACTGTCCCTTATGCCTGTCAGTCAAAGTGTGGGGTGGGCTCTTAGCTCCCTCTCCGGGACCATTGAGCACCCATCTCAGGTGCAGGTAGAGCCCGGCTCTAGAGGCCATTCCTGTGGCAGTTGGGACATCATCAACCAACTGGGCTGAGCCTGGATTAGGCCTGGATGAGCAGCCAAACTCTCCAACCCTTCTGCTGAACTCTCAATCCCTGTGAGGTTCCCCCAGACCTGTCATGGTCTTGGGGCCACAGAACCACTGGTGGGGATGTCAGCATCCAGGAGTTGTGCCTGCTGCCCGGTGCAGTCACTCGCCTGCGGATCTGCTGTTCTTTCCATCTGGCTAGAGGAACAAATGACCACTGGCAGGGAGCTGCTTTCACAGGTCACTTGCCTGGCACAGGCAAGGGGGCAGGAGGGATCTCCAGGTAGATGTTCACTCTGGGCCCCAGAGCATCAGCTATAATACAGTGTCCTCTAAATTACAGTTCTCTGCTGCCCACAGCTCCTGCCCTTTCAAAATAATCTGTGCACACCCCTAAATGCGCATGGGCCCAATCCTGCTCCCATGGAGGTCAATGAGTGTTTGGCTGGCGATTTCAGCCCTTGGGCTCTCTGCAGAGACTGCCAGCAGTGGAGCCAGATGTAGGGATGTATTTATGTGATGTGGACACTTGTCTGCTAGGAACTGAGTTTGAGATCTACCAATCCACTTTATCTACATCACTGAACAGACAGACAGACACCTAATCGGGTAATTTTCAGGTACTACCATCGTACTATTGAATGGGAACCAATGGCTTAGTGTTAGAAGAACCATCTAGCTACTTCCCTATGCGATCCATCCTTGAACTGGATTGGCACTAGTGCAGAGACCAGCATTCACTCATGTAATAGGCTGGCTTGCCTTTTAAAGGCCAGATGGTAGCCAACCCTAGTTGCTAACTAGACATGCCTGAGCAGGGATCAGATGATGCCCCCTGAAGAGCAGAAGGAAGCGGCAGAGGGACTCCCCAGGGAGCCCATAGAGTGGTGAGAGAGATGATAGATGCTGCTGGGAGAACCCTGAGCCATCAGGGATGTGCTCAGAGATCTGCAGGGAGAGTAGGCTCCAGCAGACAGCCCTGAGGCTCAGGGAGTGGGGCTACAGGCAGCAAAGGCCTTGGAGTGACCTGGTAAGGGGGTGAGTGGATGAACTTGAGAACTTTATTTTGGATGTCTGTTATTTGAATAAACCAGCACCCAAAAAGGGGTGAGAATGGACAAAATGATCTGGATTATTGAAAAAGCCTGTTGAAGGGAGAAACTAAGGCAGGGACTACTTGCGGGACCACCCTGAGGTCATGAGGGGGCACATGGGAAGCTCACAATAACCTGCTACTAGAGCAAACATCTGCATCAGGGCTGGGTGGAGATGGCTTTTTTTAGTTGGGGGGATTTGTGCAAATATTGTGTTCATTTGGGGTTTGCACCAGTTGAGGTTTGGGTACAAATACATGAAAATGCTCATTTGAAATGGCTGAACATCACCTAGGTTTATGCTGCACCCTTAAGAAGCTGTGGATTTGTTACCCCAGCTGGTCCCGTGTTCAGAAACCTTCATGAAATTTCAGTCATTCTGGTCTAAGGCTCAGGTCTGCAACAAAACCTAAGAACAGGTGAGTTTCCTTTTTGGGTTTCAGGTTTCATTGTGAAAACATCACATCAGCTGTGCTATACCATAAAATAACACTTCACCATGTGCTTGGCTACACAGAGCTTTGTTATGGTAAGTGTGCTTGTAGTGGGGTGGCTGCACCACTCCAAGGTAAAAGGGATTAAGAGCAGCTGAGGGAGGCTGGGGAGATAGTTGGCCCCAGATGTGGCTGGCTTAATCAGGCTACAGCTGGCCTGGATAAAAGGGCTGTGGGGCCAGGAGATAGAGAAGTCTTACCCTAGCCCTGCAGTGGGAAGGGCTAGCTGCATGGAAGCAATGGATGTGAAGCAGAACAGAGCAGTGCTGGGGAAAAGGGCAAGAGGAGCTGGGGAGCTCCAGCCTGACAACTCCCCAGGCTTAGGCCTTGGTTAAGGCCTAAAGAGGTACCGGGGCTGCAGAGGTGTAGCCCAGGGTTAGGCAGAGGCAGCTGGTCCAACCCCCTTGCCAATGATGAGTGACCATTACAGACTGCAGTCTGCCCCAGTGAAAGGGGACTAGATGATGACTGGCAGAAGCCATTGAGGCAAGGTGGGTGTAGAGGGTTGGGGGTTCCCCTGGGAGGGGAGACCTAGTATGTGGGGGTACTGCTGGGGCAGAACCCTGAAGTAAAGGGGCACTGTGATCCAGAGGCAGGTGAGACACTGCCATCAGAGGTAGCTCCGGAGCTGGAGTTCAGCTTAGTCCCAAGATGACTAGCAGGAGGCGCTGCCCCCATAAGTCCTGACCTCACTACAGTGCTACACGCAGCGTCCCTCTTGCATTCCTAAAGACCTACTTTTGGTCTATCCTCCATGCTGCTCTCCAGCTCACTTTTCCTGCCTCTGCACTTCCTGATGCAGACAGGCTGTGTTCACAGTTCTGTGGCTCTCTAGATCATCATTGTAACAGTAAGGCAAGGCCTCAGATGTTCCTGCTCCAAAACCAAAGGTGCCTATAACAGGAGGATCAGCAGGATCCGGACCCATAGAGGTGCCTATAACAGGAGTCAAAGGCTAATCTGTTAGCAGTGCACTGTTGAGCAATTTGATTCCATCCAGTGGGGGGATATGTTGTGTGCACAGTTAATTATAAACGGCAGGTAGCAGCACATATAGGTAAGGTTGCCAAACATTTCCCATTATAAAGCCTTGGTTTTGGTTATTATCACTGGGCCAGACTCTAACAGTTTGGGCTGAAATTTTCCATGCCAGATGTCTGCCTCAGGTTGATCATGTTTTTTGTTTTGTGTGTGTGGGTTGTTTTTTTTTTTTTTTTTTTTAAGTTTCAGCTAAAATGGTTCAGTTATTTCCAAGACCAAGGTTAGGAAAAAATACATTATTTTACCCATGGTAAAAGCAAAAAATACAACTGAAACAGAGACTCAGATTTGGCAGAGGCGCTGCCCTGGTGCCTTTTGACGTCCCCATGAAAGGTGGCCAAATTTTGGCCAAGTTCTGAGCCTCTGCTAAATCTAGTTCAGCAGCTAAAATTTCTGAAGATTGTTTGAACTGAGCATGCTCCACCCTCTCCCAGATCCTGTGTGCCAGTGGAATGACACATCAAGCATCCCCTGAGAATGACTGAGCAAGCTGTATCCTGAGGATGCAGCAGCTAAGTGGGACTCCATGCAATTGCTTCTCCTGGCCACAGGAACTGAGAGCAGGGAGTCTGTTTGTCCTGGGCTCTCGATGCTCTCCCCTGGCAGCAAGGCGGAGAAGGAGAAAGCCACCTGACTGGCACACAGAGGGGGGAGGAATGGGGCAGGAGATTGCAGGGTCTGGAGGGTGGGGATGAGCAGAATGGGAGGGGGACAGGAGCTGGTGGAAGGATGGATGGTAGTAGGGGGAGAGGTATATAGGTGCAGAGATGGGGATGGTAAGAGCTGGGGTGTGGGATATGTGAACAGGAGCAGAAGGGGTGGAGGCAGAAGTTGTGGGGATAGGGGTGTGATGGGGTGTAGCAGGCATCTGCTGCCCCATGACAGATGCCCTGGGGCATCCTGCCCTATGAAACTCTCCACGTGGAAGAGAGGACCAGCAAGAGAGAGAGGCCTCCCAGGAGCTATTGGTGGAACCAGTGAGTCTTGATCTTCCAGTGGCTAGAAGGGCAGGGACAAAAGGACTGGCTGCTGCTTTCAAATGCCAGTCGTGGGTGATGCTGTGGCAGGGGAGGGAAGCTGGGTCTTTTCTAAAGTCTTAGGAACTCACCCTGATCCGGTGCCCAGCTCTGATGGTATTTGGGTTGGATCAGGGTCTGCAAATGCCTGGTGCTCCCAATAACACTCCTGTCCACCACCAGCTCCTGCCTCCCTGATCTGCATTTTGGAATTTAATGCCCATGTGAAGTGTTACCTTAATTTTATGGGAAATAATTCAGCTTGCTCCATGGGATGCTTGGCTCAGGCAAACCTGTAACAAGGAGTGGGAGCTCAGGTAGATAGGTGGGAGGGGGAACCAGGCTGATGGGTCTACAGTCTCTAAAGCACATTTCCCTCCTGAACCTCCATTTGAACCCAGGCTTCCTGTCTCTGTACGTTCCTGTTTCTGTGGCAGAGGCAAATCACCTAAACCAAAATGTTCACAAGTGGCCACTAGTTGTGTACCGCTTGTTTTCTGGGTGTTCAAGGTGAGATGGCCATGCAGATGTTGAGCACTCACAGCTGAAGTCTGGGAACGGAGCTTTGGACAGCTAAAGTGCAATAAAAATGTGAGCTAGTCTGAAGACTCAGGCCCATGGTGTCTCCAGTTGGTCACCAACAATTAGTGGCCACTGTTGACATTTTTTACCTTTACTGTTTCAATTGCCCAGCCTTAAAATGGAAATAATAAAACCACCTAATCACAAAGGAATGTTGTAAAGATAAATTCATTAATGTTTGGGGAGCACTCAGACACTATTGTGAAAGCACCATACAATTGCCCAGGAGGAACTTAATAATTCTGTATTCATTGCAGGATTTGGATGGCATGTGGGCCACAAAATGAATGAGGAGGATTAAAAGAAATATTGAAGAATTCCTCATTCACTGATGGTGGCAGGGGTCCTGTGGAGGAAGTGGTATGGAATCGTGTCATTAAAAACTGTATCATCATGTGTATGTACACAGGTTCTGAATTAAGGTGACACCAGCAGCTTAATTCTGGCATTTCCTAACTTTTGATTGCTGAAATATGAAACCTTAGTGTTCTTTTAACATAGCATTTTGGGGATGTAATTATATGGCTCACAGCATTCCAGGTGCGTATAGCACGCTACAGAGACAGTGAAGGCCTGGTCCATGCTTTAAGAAGCTGCAGTCGAAGGGAGGTGCAGCAAAAGGTGATGCAAGGAGGACAGTTGACATTGGGCCAAGGTCACTGTGAGAAAGAAGAAGAGTTTGGAGGTGGGATTCAGGTTGTGTGGTGGACAGGCCCAGGGATTAGCCATCAGCTACCAATGATGAGCAGCATTATGAACCGCCAGAGACAAGCTAGATGACCCCTCCTTGCCCCTGCAGGGAAGAGCTGCCTTTCACTGAGCTTGTCCATTGGTATGGCTTGCCCTTTCCTAACTTGGCCCTCATTTTACAGAGATCTTCCAGGGGCGGCTGGGGGCATCTGAAAGCAGGACAGTGAAACTGATGGAGAGGCTCCTCTGAGGGTACATCTACACTGCAGCTGCAACAATGCTTCTTAGCTTGAGCAGACAGACACACTCCCTCTGCTCGGGCTAGCTGTAACTGGGGGAAGCACAGGTGGGGCTTGGGCTAGCCACCAGCCTCCAATGCAGCTGGACCAGTGAATACTCAGGTAGTTAGCCTGAGCTGCCCATGTTACCCCCCGATATGCAGCTAGAGCAGAGTTAGTGTGTGTCTGCCAACCTGAGCTGGCCGCACGCTCCCAGCTGCAGTGGTGGCTCCCTGGTGCACTCATGCGCCTACCTTGTTCTGAATCACACTGCTATCGTTACCCTTCCTGGGAGCTGCTTCTGGGTATCCCAGCTCTTTGCAGCTAGAGGGCTGGGTGCTGGCTGTTTTCACAGATGAAGGGCTTGGGAGTGAAGGGCTGATTGCCTCCTTGAGCCCAGCAGCTCTGAAGTTCTGCTTTGTGCAGTGTGACACATGGCCTGAGTCTTCTCTTACTCCCAGCAGTGTAAATCAGACCAGCCTAGAACCAACGTGGTGGGAGAGGAGACTCTTACCCTTCCGTGACTGTAGCAGGGCAGAGTCCACATGGGCATGGGAGAGAGGACCCATGGCAGGGCGGGACCATCCCTTCCCCTAAAGTAGTGGTTCTCAACCTATTTACCATTGTGGGCCGCATCCAATACTACCTGTATGGCCCTGAGAAGGTCATATGGGCCGCAGCTCTGTGCTGATTGGGCTGCAAGCAGCCCAAGGGCCACAGGTTGGGAACCACTGCCTGAAGGAAGGGCAGGGGCACCTGTGCAGCAGGGATGTAGCTGCCTTATAGTCTATAGCAGGTAGGTGTGTTCAGGGTTAAGTGTCAAATCTACTGGCCCCTCTCTGGAGCCCCCCAGAAGCTCGCCCTCCCCTGCACTTTAGTGGTGGCCACAGGAGGCTGCTGACTGCAGTTATGTGGCTTCTTTGCAGGGGAAGAGCAAGGCTCTGGGTGGCCAAGCAGGGTGGGGATTTACCCTGGGAACATTAGTTAATTCATGAACCACCATGTAACTGGTGAGCTGGGTCTGGTGGTATACAGGGGAAAACTGAGGCAGAGAGTGGGACGTGCCCCAGGGCCATGCTCCCAGTTTGTAGCAAAGGTGGAGTTAGACTCCAGGCATTCCTGGCCAGCAGGCCTGTGTGCAGACTACCAGCCCAGATACCTTCCCCGTGATCGAGCAGATATACCATGGAGCAGCGCAGACAGGGGCTCTAGTCCCGGCTTTACCATTGGCCGCTGGGAGATGGGGCATGGTTCTGCCCCTCCGTGTGCCTCAGTTTCCTGCCTCTTAAATGCCACCGCCCTCCGTTGCAGGGGGGTCCAGCTGGAGCTGACCAGCCCTGCAGCCAGCCGGGGTCGGGAGGGGTTCTCGCCTGGCAAAGCCGGGCGCTGGTACCCCCTCTGCCGCAGGCGGCCAGGCGCGCTCTGCCCCTTTAAGCGCCGGCTGCTTTGCCTGGCTCTGCCCCCTCGCTGACAGCACCAGCCACACGCCCGTGCGCGGAGCCCCGGCTGCAGGCGGCACCAGCCCGGCTCCAGGCAGGACGCGCGGCTCGGCGCGCTCCCACTGCGGCTCCCTCCATGGCCGCTCCTGCCCGCGCGGAGCGGGGCACCAGGGGCCGGGCACCAGCCTCCCAGGGCGGGCGAAAAGGAGAGATCTGAGCCGCTCGCCGCCGGCCCCCCCCCGCCATGTGGGGAGCTCCGGCGCCTCCCAGCCAGCAGCCCAGCCTGGGGCCGAGCCCCGCGCTCAAGGAGCTGCCGCTGCAGCGGGAGCCGTGCCGGCTGCTGTGCCCAGCCAACTAGCTCCGGGGCGGCCGCTGGCAGAGCCCTCCCGGCCAGCCGCAGGACCCCCAGGAGGGCTGTGTGTCGGCCGCAGACCCTGGCACCTGTGGAGCGGCCCGCGGGCTCTGTGCGCACGATGGGCCGCCGGAGCGAAGGCGGACGAGTGGCACTGCACTGTGGCGCTGGAGAGGGGGGGTGCGCGGCCGCCTCCCCCGCACACGGCGTGGCAGCACCCCTCCTCCTGTGAGCCGGTTCCGCTCCTCCACTCTCGGCGATCCAGCCAGAATAACAACAGGGCGCTCCCCCTCCCACGCCAGTCTCCCTTCTCCGCGCTTCCTGCCCGCCGGCAGGCTCTGCTCCAAGGGGCAAGGAGGGGGACGGATCAGGATGGCATCTCCCGGGAGCAGCAGCCAAGAAGAGCCGCGGAGCTGGCTCTGGTGACCCCGGGGGCAACCGCAGCCGGAGCCCCTGCGCAGGAGACGGGAGAGCCGGGCTAGTAAGTTGCTGGTTTTCGTGGCCGCCTCGCTTGGCTTATGGCTCTCGCGGGGTGGCTGGTAGATAAACTTTGCGATGGCAGAGCTGGCAGCGTTTGACAGGCCGGCGCGGCGCCCCAGCTGTGCGCAGAGCCGGCAGCCGGAAGCTGGGATGCAGCATCCTCGTTTAACCTACCCCAGCGATGAGGGCTTGTGGCTGGTCACTGCGCCGGGAGGAGTTGGGCTTGAGGGGAGTCTGCGGGAGGGGCTGGTTCCTTTTGCTGACGCCAACAGTCCTCGCGGAGCCGGCTCCAAATCCGGGTCCCCTCCCGGAAAAGAAAGGGTCGTGGGTGGAGGGGGGACCCTTGCGATCCTGGCTCGGAGGCTGGCCTCAGGGCGCCCCGCTGGCCCTTGCAGGGATGGACGGGGCGAAGCTGTCCCGCCCCGCACAGCCAAGGGCCAGCCCGGCCCTTGGGGCCCCAACCCGGCTCGCCCAGTGACGCGTTACTGGTCTCTCCGCAGGAGGCCGGCGGCTCCCCGAGCCCCAGGACACCAGCCCCGGCCCTGGAAGTCGCCGTGGATCTTGCGAAGCGTTTTCCGAGTTCGTCCTGCTGCGAATATCCCAGGATCATCGTTCGCTGCCCTTGAGCCAAGTGGGCGAAGCTCGCCCGGACAGGTGGCCGCCGTGCCCGGAGCCGGCCCATGGGGGCTCAGTGCGCGGTACAAACGAGGCGGAGAGACTGAGCAGGTGGAAGAGGCGGCGCTGCTCCCAGCCTCTATAAAACATCCGGAGCTATGCCTTGTCCGGAGAGCCGGCAAGACCCGGGCAGACGGGCACTGCCCGCCCTCTCTCGCTAGCCGGGAGCAGGGAAGGAATCACTCAGGGCTCGCCTGCCAGTGGATCTCCATCGGCGCAAGGCGGCTCCTTGCGACCGGGCAGCGCTCCAGTCCCGTGGGCGTGCGGCTGGGTCCCCGGAGCTGAGTTTGGTTAGTCCTGCCCCGCGCCTCGCTGCTGTGAGCTGCTGGTGCGGAGAGCGGCGAGAGGCAGAGCGCGGCTGCGGCTCTCTGGCGCGTGGGACGTTAAGATGGTGAGCTCTCCCCGGCCGAGAGGGGCTCCGCGGAGGCAAGGCCGGGCTGGGGGAGAGCAGAATGGACAGCGCCGGGCGCCCAGGCAGCTTGTGAAGGATGAGCTCCGGGGGCTCGCAGAACACGCAGCCCAGTGAAGACCCCGCCGGCGGCAGCAGCAGCGAGAGGCAGCGGATCAGGTGCCGCATGAAAATGGTGATCGGGCAGCTGGAGGGGATCCTGCAGGAGCTCAAGGAGGTAGCCAAGGAGCTCCGGGAGGTGAGCACCGCTGCGGCGGGGGCACCATGGGGAGTCCCAAAGCGGGCCAAAGTTCCAGGCTCTGCCATGCCTAAAGAATTCCCTTCATGGAGCAGGCCTGGCTAGGAGAAGCAAACTGTTGTGGGTACAGCCTGTGTGTGTATGTGAGTGTGTCCTCCATTGTGGGTACTGAGTGTGTGTGTGTATCTGTCTCCCCGGCCCCTGTTGTGGGTCCAGCCTCTGTGTGTGTGTGTCCAGCCTCTGTGTGTGTGTGTCCATCTGGTCCTCGATCTGTCCCGGTCCCCTATTGTGGGTACAGCTTCTTTGTGTGTGTGTAGGGGGCAAATTAGATTTCCCCTATTGCCCTAAACCCCAGACAGTCAAGTCACGAGTGCATATCCTGACTGCTGTCTGATTTGCACTCTTTTTGTGGAGAAGTCCATGACACCCCCCCCACCACCACACACATACACCATGTCAGCGGAAAATCCGGCCCCCATTTTTTTGCCTTCCTCCATCTCCATGTTCAGGATAGCCCTTCACAGGAGAGAGGTGATGCTCCCCAAATCAGCGAATGCAACAGCTCAGTCCCAGCAGCGCCCTTAGCAGGGCCGCCTGTGCCTGTTTTATGTTTATGGTGGATGATTTCCAAGAAGCAAGAAGGGCTCCCAATTGCCCTTGACTCCATTGACTTCAATGCCATGGGCTGCCCAGCTCCACACAGGATCGAGGCCAGTGTAGAGCTCGGGGCATCTGACCCCTGGAGGATTGGGTCCAATAGGCCCCCATGTGGATCAGGTCCTAATATACCAAGCTGTGTCTGTGAATCACAGAAGTAACCTAGACATTCCACCTGTGTGAACAGTGTAGTAGAGCTAGTGTTGTTTGGGTTCCCCATTGGATGTTATGACTTGCTGTGCTTTGGACTGTTATGTGCTGCAGTCAGGTCGTTTTTTTGTGTTTAATTTCCTTGCCTTCTTTAAAGAAAAGGGGGTGGAGAGAGGAGACATCCCCTGTCCTTAAATGATACCAGATAAGCGTTGCTTCCTTAAGGCTGATCTGGTGAATCCGATTGAATATTTAGCTACAGTTCACTGCATGCTGCCCTGGGTGACGAGAGTAGCAGCCTGTCAGTTTGGCATTGTGAAGATTGGATCTTTCAAGCAGAAAGAGAGAAACTTAATGATGGGGGGGAGGGGTTAATTGGGAGCTGGCATAAAATTGTAGACTGCAGCAAATCTCACAGAGAAACCCTGAAATCAAAGGATCCAGGAGGCCTCCACCTAACCCTCAGGCCAACAATTCTCCTGTCCCTCATATGAGTGAATTTTGCCATGGATGCAAGTTATTTCCAACCTCCCTTGGCCGGTTTGTCCAGGTGGCAGGCCTGCGTCTGTCAGGCTGGGCAGGAGGAAGTGCTGTGATGTCACAAACTGGGTGGTGCATCAACAGGGTCTGCTAAAATCTCAAGGCCAGATTCTCCATTGATTTCCACAGCCCTTTGCTGGTTTACATCAGCTGAGGATCTGGCCCTTAAATGGTGAATTAAATGGGTTTTTGTCCCACTCCCCCAGCCAGGAAGCAGTAGTAGCTGAAGAAGCTGGCTCAGCTTTTCCAAAGGGCATGGGCAGAAATTTCAAACATTTCCCTGTGTGAAAATAGAAGCTCCTGCTGGGAATCATTTGGGCATGACTAGCTTTCACTATAACGTGTCCATGAGAAAACATACTGGGCCACATTCAACTCTGGCTGAGCTCCAAGGGTATCTTTCTTTGCTCTTGCCTCCCCTCCTGCGCTCCTCCCAAGTCTGGATTGTGCCTGGGCCTGCATGGGGGACAGCATCACAAGGAATTCCCCTCCTCAACCTTGCACCCCTGTGCAGGGGAAATGGATAGAATGGCTGGGGAGCAGAGCTGAGGCTCCAGGGACCTGATCCAAACCATTGGAGTCAACGGGAGTCTTTCCATTGACTCTAGTAAGCTTTGGATCAGACCCCATCTTAGCACTGCTGGCAACACTAGTGACGTGGCAAAGGCAGGGCCATAGATGCAAAAGGGAGTGCACGTGGCACCCAGTCCAAGTGAGGAGGAGCTGACTGAGCCAGCCAGCTTGCCAGATCCCCACTTGGCACTGGAAGTCCTATACCTCTCCATGCCTCTTGGCCAGAGCTCACAGCCACAATCAAGCTCTGGAGCCTTGCCCAAAATAACCCATCTTGGAAAATAATAGCAGAGCTTTAAAAAACCAGCCAAGGATCAAAGACAGGGTGGGGAGATGCAAGCAGCAATTGCATAGGAATCTATGGGGTAAATCCTGCTGCACTTATTCCTTGGCTCACTGGATTTCCATTGGGGCGAAGAATCTGTGGGCATGAAGGCTTTGCAGAGGACAGAGGGGCAGGTTGCTTATTGTGGCTTGTTGTTTTACATCTCTCTCCTGACTCGGCCCAACCTGTGCTGTGGGAGGTGCAGGCAGCAGGAGAAACTCTGTGTGTCTGAGCAATGATCAAACCCCTCTTGAATGACTGCTTTCAGCACCAGGGAGTCTGTGAAATACACACATTCCCCTCTTTGCCCTATGGGACACTTTGGAGCCTAGAAGGCATCATGCACCATCAGGACCATCCTGATGGTATGTGCCTATGGGGTCACATTTGGTTTGTTGGGGGGCTTTAGGCAAACTTGTAGCCCTGTTGCGGAGATGCAGGTGGCCAGAATCATGGGCTGCTTGATGGAAGGAAAAGGCCAACCAGCTAGCCAAGTGTTATGTGACTAACAGCTAATCCTTCTCCTCTTTGGAGAGTGATCAATACCTGCCAGAGGGGAAGATTAGAAATGATAACACTAGACTAGGGAGCAGAGCTAGGGCTTGGTGGGAAGAAGAGAGAGAAAGCAAAAGTATTGGTAGCTGCTGTCCTCTGGCTGGAAACACAATAGTAGCTCTAGAAGAGACGTGTCTTTCAGCTCCCCAGAAAGGAGGCTGGGCCATGTGGTTAAGGCATAGGAAGGTATTCTTGACCTTCAGCAAGTCACTTGGCCTTTCTGTGCCCCAATTTCCTCCCCTGTAAAACAGGGAGAGTGATATCTATCTGCCTCACCAGGCTAAATCCTGTCATGTCCGTAATGTGCTTTGAGAGCCTCAGAAGAAAGGGCAAAGCATTGTTCTTGTAACAAATCCTGAGAATCGGCCTAGCAGAGCGATTCAGACAGAAAACTCTAGTAACAGAGGCTGAGCTGGGAAAGGGCCTAAAACAGGGCACCCTTGCGCTGGAGGTGATGTCAAGTGAAGAGTGCCCAATGAGTTTCCATGTGGGCATGTGGCTCATGCCCACTGGAGATGACCAGACACTCTTGCTTAGTTGGAGTCCTTCATCTGGAGGCTGGATTCTTGGAGCCTGTGCATTTTTTGACTCTGCAGCTGAGACTCCCGTGGAATCCTGTCTGAGCTGATAGAGTGGGATGAGGGCAGGTCAGTACAGGGATGAGGCCAGGTCAGTGCTGGAATGAAGACCTCCAGGGAAAAGCCTAGAGGTGAGTTGGATGATTCAGTGCCTGAGTTGCCCTAGTTTTGCCAGGTCATGATTCTGAGGAATGCACATGTAAGCTGAGTGGCAGAAGCCGACCCGTAGTACATGGCTCTCTTCCTTCTAAGTCAGGACTGAACCAATGCGGGTGCAGTGTTTAATGAGTGAGATGTTACATGGAAATCCAGAGCACTTGTGCACTTTCAAGGCCTGTTGGAACTTTTCACAACAGCAAAGGGCCTTATCTCCAACCTCCTGGCCAAATGCCACTATGGCTAATTATACTGAACTGCTGCCATTTCAATCAGATGCATTTTTCTTCTTCGCTTCCTGGCCAAAACTATAACTCATTGTTGCTCCAAGCTGTCACAAGTAACGCAGCTGCCCAGCCTCAGCCCGGAAGAGAGAGAATGTCAGGGGCTGCTGAAGTCTTTGCTGTATGTATCAATCTGTAACATGTTTTGAGATCCTTCAGACTGGAAGGCAGTGAGATCTGTGGGGAAAAGTGCTCGATAAGAGCCAGTTGTCATTATTTATTAGCACGTGAAGTTTCAAAGAAGCTTCCTGTTCCAAGCTGAACTCCCCAAGAGCTGGGATAAGTCTTCCTCATCCACACCTAGCACCCCAGTTTTGCCAGCAGATTGGTCATAGAATCATAGAATATCAGGGTTGGAAGGGACCCCAGAAGGTCATCTAGTCCAACCCCCTGCTTGAAGCAGGACCAATTCCCAGTTAAATCATCCCAGCCAGGGCTTTGTCAAGCCTGACCTTAAAAACCTCTAAGGAAGGAGATTCTACCACCTCCCTAGGTAACGCATTCCAGTGTTTCACCACCCTCTTAGTGAAAAAGTTTTTCCTAATATCCAACCTAAACCTCTCCCACTGCAACTTGAGACCATTACTCCTTGTTCTGTCATCTGCTACCATTGAGAACAGTTTAGAGCCATCCTCTTTGGAACCCCCTTTCAGGTAGTTGAAAGCAGCTATCAAATCCCCCCTCATACTTCTCTTCTGCAGGCTAAACAATCCCAGCTCCCTCAGCCTCTCCTCATAAGTCATGTGTTCCAGACCCCTAATCATTTTTGTTGCCCTTCGCTGGACTCTCTCCAATCTATCCACATCCTTCCTGTAGTGTGGGGCCCAAAACTGGACACAGTACTCCAGATGAGGTCGTTGCCTTCCCCATGTGACTCTCCACCTGGGAAAGTGCTTTATGTTTAAAATAGGGGACATGGTCAGTATCCATTAAGCAAAGCTTAATGGCACTGGCTCCTACCTGAGATCTACAGCTTGACCTACTTCCGAATGGCTATACTCTGACAGGGGCTATCCTTGGGACTGGAAGCAGTGTTTTGAAAGGGCAGTTTGAAAAAGAACATTTCTTCCTGACCATGGAAACCAAGTGTCATGCCAAGACATACCTATGATTGCTGAATCTGAAACGAATACAAGGGAGAATTTTTCTTCCATTTGTTTTTTTTATGTACTTGAACCCACT